GGAAGGAAACCTCCCCAGGGATGCACCTTGTTATTTTTCCTTTCTCTTCCTCCCTAGAGCATCCAGAGGAGGTGGGAGTACCTGCCAGAAAACATTCCATGCCATGTTTTCTGCTGAAAACAGAGGGCAATCACTGACCTTTCTCTTTTTGCTCCTAGAAAACGACATTGGCTCAAAGCTGACCACTGTTACTACCAATTTCTGCTGCCTTGTAGCCCTCCTTGGCACTACAGGACCTGTTTAATCACTCTGCTCCTGCAGGAAGCAGAATTCCCAATCAACAGGAGCCTAATGTGTGAGCACCAGGGCTCAGCTGAAGCATTCCAGCTGAAGAGCCTCATCTCAATTCCACAGAATTATCGTCCCCCTTTACACACCGGTCGTTACCATTAAAGGATCATTGGGCTTCCATCAAGTTCTTCAGGAGAATTCCTCATTAAATGGAGGGCATAGTTTTTATTTTTTTATTTTAAGTTCCATTCCTGGGAGAATCCCTCGCTGAGAACACAGCCCTGCCTAACAATACCTGCATAAACTCAATTTGCAGAGGAGCTGAACTTAAACCTTTTGTTTGAATAAGTGATTTTAGGATGATTTTTGCCTCAGCTTTCCACCCACCAGCTTTATTTGGAAATATTTTAATTGATGAATAACCAGTATTTGCTTCAGTTGAATTCACAGGGACATATTGCTCCATCTCTCTGGGTTTTGGGCAGCCATCAAGTAACTATGAAAGTATCCCTTAGTTCTAGAAATATTCCCTTTTCTTTAGTTCTAGAAAGATTCACTTTCCCTGCTTTAGCCACTGACAGACATTGAGGTAGTAATTCACAATAAAATCATGTTCCTACAGGGGAAAAAACCTCACTAAAGTAATGATCACACATTTCTTAACTTCTGATGTAAAACATGGTTTTCAACAGCACAAAACCATTGCATTTGGTTAAAAAAAAAAAGAAAAAGAAAGGAAGGCAAGAGAATTTAATTGTATTTCTGAAGCTCTTCTTAATATCAAAGCAAACTTCCAATAATCAACAGGATCTCAAAGCAGCTGGTGTTGTTCTCCAAACTAAAGAATTAAAATAAAGAAACCCCAACTCTTCAGGCATCTGGAGCTGCATTAAATTTACAACTCGGTGTTAATGTAACCTTTCCTCCCCTTTCTCTCCCCACCCCCGTTTTTTTTAGCAATACACTTGAAACCTAACATTTAATTTATCTTAATATATAGTATGAAATATCTAAATCTTGTGATGGCTCAGGGAGTGAGGCTGGGGCTGGGCTTGGACACTGGATCCCAGTGCCCTGGAATTTTGGGGAAGAGCCAAACCAAGGCCGAACTGTGCAGCTTCACACCCATCTCTAATCAGAAGCATTAGCTTGACACTTTTCCAGTCATGAGTAACCATCGCTCTGTGCTGGAAAACTCAGTAGGATGCATTTTAAAGTACTATTTCCACATCTTTTAATTTGTATTTGTGTCTCATCAACAAAGCCTTGGGTTTGGGCTTCCATTCAGGCTCCTCTAAAGGGCAAAAATGGTGTTGGAGGAGACCCTTTCAGGCCCAGGTTTCAGTAGTGATTAAATGATGGAAGGATTTTCTCTGCTGTTTTGTTTAATAACCACAGAAGTATCCTGATATCTCCTGGAGATTTGACAAGCACTACTCCACTGAAAATGAAAATATTTGGCTATGCAGAAGAACACAGATAGGAATTAAAATGCCCTTAGATGAACATTGCTGCAGAATTCTGTTTGCATAAGGGAAGTGAAGTGCTTGGAAATGTCTGGAAAAGGAGGGGCTTAATAACAACAGCTGTACAAATAATTTACTGGGGAAAGACCAGCAGAGGTCTTAGATATGGCCCAAGACTGAAACAAAATGAATTAAATCATGAAATGAATAAACCACTCTGCTGTACTGTGGTTTTTGACCCTGCTTTTCCTCTGCTCACAAGTTCCTGCACTGGCAGGATGGACAACTATCCCTTCAAACCTAACAGACAACTGTTCCTTGCTTTGCCTGGTGAATATATTAACAATTAAAATGAAAATTAACATGTCCAAAGTGTGAAAACAGACGTCTAATATTTTAAAGCAATTTTTTTTCCCCCCTGCTTTTGACTTTCAGGGTTGCTGACCAACCACGTTCAGCAAGCAGCAGGCAAAAAGAATTAATCAAAATTTTAAAACAGGAAAATCAACAAACCCTCCGAAAAATCAACCAAAAATAAGTGTCCAGAAGCTATTGGAACATTCAAGAACACTCTTAAATTTGGTTATGTTGAGAGAAGTAATGATGCTACCCTTAGAAAGCAGGAGGCAGACAGAAACAAGCTGTCTTTGCCTATTGGCCTTGCTGCTCATCACGGCTAATTTGCTTTGGAACACGAAGTTTTGTTATACCCAAGGTGTCAAATTTTAGCAATTTGAGCCACTTTTTGTATCTTTTTTTGTCCACACTGACCTCTGCAGCCCAGAACAAAGCTCACCAATGCACGTGTCCAACTTTGAAGGAGCCTTAATGAAGATCCTGCTCTCACTCAAAACCTCAAGAGTTCTGCAATTTGTCTCAGAGGTTTGGGTTCTGTAACCGTGAGAAAAGGTTGGTGTTTTGGGGAGGGCTGATAAAAAGCAAAGTGAACTTAGTGGTTTTAAAGGCTGATCTTGATTAATTTGGGGGCCTGAACTGAATTCTCCCACTGAGACTCAAACGGGATGAGCTCCCATGGAACAAAAGTGCAGGAGGAGTTGAAGTTATCCCAGAGAAGCAGAGCCCTGGAGTCTCTCTCAGCTGTTTTCCCAGCTTGGCTTGCTCAGGGGCAGAAAACCCAGCTGAGGAGTTTATCCCAGCTCGCTTTTCTCAATAAAGCGCTGATTTTGGTGCAGAGATCAAAAGCAAGGCCAGGCTCTCTCCCATACAGGAGAGCTGCCAGGTGGATGGGCTGAGGAATGCAGGAATTCCATCCGCATCCATGTGATCCTGCAGGATTTGGTTCAGTTTCCCTGTTCAAGGTTTCCCTGGACACCTGAGGCTGGTGGGCTCTGTCACATCCCCCTTTGGCTGAGGTCACACCAAGAATAATGCTGAGACCAAAAAAAGTTGGCTCCGAACTCCCCCTGCAGCTCAGCATCTGATGGAAATCAAGGATTTGAGGATTTTTTTTGGGAGCAGCCAGCATGGGTTTGAAATCAGAGCAGAATTCCTCCAACATTCCGCTGTTTTGGGGTCCAGAATTTCTCTTTTGGCAGTTCAAAACAATATTCTGTGTATTATGGCAGTGCCTCAGGTCCCCAGCTGTTAATCAGGAGAGCCCTGGGCACGATTTTTTACAAACTCAGAACAAACCCCCCCAAAATAAAGACTATTTATGTTTCCTGACATTTCACAATCAGCTCTTCTCGCTGGCTCCAAGAGCCAACAAGATGTGTTTACATGCTGTAAAAGAGGGGTTTTTTTCCTCCTTTCCTGATTTTTTAGCATTCTTGGCAGATGATAAGTAATTGCTGGGTTTTTTCTTTATGAAAATTGCCACTTGAAAAAAACCTCAGTATAAATTCCCTAACAAAGAGCACCTCTTTTTTTTTCCCTCATGTCTTATCACCTCTAAAAAACACAGAGTGAAAAAGTCACTGCAGTCTCTTTAAACTACTGGTGAAAAAAATTAGGTTGGTCAGGAATTTCTCTTTAAATTTCTTTGTGCTCCAAACAGAAAGCTAATAAATATATTTTTTTATTTTTTTGCCTGCATTTCTTTAATTTCTCTGAGCTTTCAGAAGCTTTTGTTTTGCAGGATTTCTCGTAAAGTTGAAACATTTTTTTTAATTATTGAATTTTTCGTTGCTAGCAGAAGCGGAAGAAAAAGAAAAGAATCACTTTTTCTATGAGAACACGTTTTGCTGGGTAGTCTGAAGTAACTCTGTAAACTCCTGTGGAGTTTTAACTCCCTTTATAAATGAGGAAACATGCAAATGAACACGAAACATGAAATATAAAGCAATGCAGCATCAAGTACCAAACCTATGGATGTCACCTTCCCATGTCAAGGATCTACAGGAAAACCACACAACACTCAGTGAGCTAAAATCCAATTTTTGTTAGAGATGCAAGACACGATAATATGTGAGTATTATTATTATTGAGACACAATAAGATGTGAGTGAAGGCACAATAACGGGAACAGGCAGCATTTTCAAGGGTGGTCCTGGGTTCCATCAGTGAATTTTGGAGGCTCTGGCTGATGGATTTGCTCTCCTGGATCAATACCATGGAGTTTCACCAGGGTAAGCAGCCCCATGTGGAGTCAGAGATGAGAAAGAAATCAGCTCTTCTCCTCTCCCCACTGCCACACTCTACCTGCTCGGTGTTTCTGAGCTGGAATTCACAATCCATCAGCCACGGGGCCGATGGAAGCAGTGGCAGATTTCACTGCCAGGCAGCTGGGTCAGGGTCCCACGGGGCTTGTTGCTTTTGCTGTGAGATCTTAAAGTGACCAGCACTATTTTGGCTTCTTGGTTTGTTGTTTTGTTATTTTTTTTTTCAAGAAGCTGAAGGGAGGATGTGAGAGTGTTAGAAAGCAAAAAAATAATAGGGAAAGAGGTAGGGAATGAGGAGGTTGCTTGTGTAGCACGTACAGAGCTACTTTGAAAAATTCTGAGGCATCTAAATATCACAAGCACAATCCCTGCTGTGGGCAGCTGTATGTGTGAGCGCTTTGCCCGAGGGTGTCAAATCAAATATCCACTGCTGGTTGGTACAGCACAGCACTTCCCCCTGGGGACTCAGGGTGGAAAAAGAGGGAAGGAAAACAAAACAAAACAAAAAAAAAGGTGGAGGGGGGGAAGGTTTAAACACAACAAATGGAGAAAAACTTTAACACTGATACGGCTTTTCATAGATTGTCATAGTGTTTATTTGGAATGATGTAGGAAAGAGGAGATGGGGAAGGAAAAGGAGAACAGAGGCAGAGAGGTTAATGCTGAGCCTTGTAAGACTTACCTGGAACCGTCTCATATCTCTCGGGTTTCCTGCTGTTTTCAAGCAATTCTGATTGCACTTGAGAAAAAATTTGAGGAAGAATCTGGAAAGATAAAGAACTACGTCACTTCTATTAACCACAGCAAAAGGTGTTGCTATATTCTGGTTTAAAATGTACATGAAGTGATTTGTGTGATGGTGGCTCTTACAGAGCTACGAGAATTTGTCAAAACACAGACAAACCAAACTCTAATAAACAGAATCTACAAAAGCCAGCCGGCAAAGTATAACCAGTGTGACAGAAATCCACCGTGGTGTAAGTGAACAAACATAATTCCTCTGATCTACACCCACTCCCTCTCCGCAGGTTTGACCACACAATTTTAGACTCTTCCTTTATCTCTCCCTCACATTCAAGGTTTTTCTTTGGCTGTCTGGAGGGATTTCCCATGAAACAATATAGAGGGATAATAGTATTGTGGAAACCACAAAACCAACAGGGCAACTCCGAGGCAGATAAGCCTTGGAACGACTTGGAATGTATGAAAAACCCAGGAGCAAACACAGCTCAGAGGAGAATCTGATGAGGTTTCATCCTGATGATGGCTTTTTCTGATGAAGATTCCAGTCGCTAACGCAGAGGAGCAGAACTGCCAAAAGCCCAGATTATTCCTACCTAGATTTTGAGGGAGGATAAGGAAAACATGAGCTCAAGTGAAACATGACAGCTCACGCTGTCCGAGCAGATAAACCCATTAATATCCCACAAAGTTCTCGTGCCAATTATTTTTGCCCTGTCACATACACCCATCTTCATATGGTTTATTATTCTGTAGAGTTTTGCTTGTCCATGTACCCCAGGTGCATCTCCAGCCTGTTTGGTGACTCACCCAATGCTGCATGGACATTTTACAGTTTAGAAATATTAAGCAGGAATTTTCCCCTAAGCTGTTCCACCAAATTTTGTCTTGCACCCACGGAGGAAAGGATTCACCCCTTTGTTTTCTGAACGAATCCAGACATTTCAGAGGTAAAGAAACTGTGTGAAAAGCCACAGTGGTTGGATTAAAAACAAAACAAACAAGTCTTCAAAATTCAGGAATAAGCAAGAAATTTTTTGCAAGTGAAATTATTCTTGCTTATTATCTTACTATGCACTCTGTTGCAAGTGAAAATATCTCTGTGATTCTTATTTCTGTTTCTGTTTGTCAGACAAGATGTGTTTAACCGCAACAATTATAATTAAAAAAATAAATCAAAGACTTTGAGATAGATTTAGAAGGAAAAAGATTCAGGTGCAAGAAAAAATAAATAGTTGAAGAATTGATTTCGAATACAAAGAACAAGTTATTTATTTATTTCTCTTGCTGAGTGCTTTCTTTAAAAAAAAAAAAAATAAATCTGCTTTTGCAGTAAGTTAAAGTCCCAGGTGAGCCAGGCCTATTTCCCTTTCTGTTACTATGACAACGATTTTTTACCGCAGTCCCTAAGTCCCTTCAGAACTCACACATTCATGCCTTGAATTAGAACTTTAAAGGAGAAAGATGGATATTTCTTGGGTTTACCAACAACACCCTCCAAACCAGCCCCAGCACAAGACAATAACACAAAAATCTGCTCTGCCTTGTTAGTGCCACTTTCTCTGCACTACTCCCACCACGAGATTTCTCCTCCATCTGCCCCAAAATGCAAAGGAAAAGCCACGGGTTGGATCCATTCGCATGTTGCTCAAACAAACAAAACCCCTCTGCAAACCTCACCCACAAAAAAAGACCCAGATTGTGCCATGTGAAACCACTGCCACAAAATCCACCCTGCCAGGAACCCTTTCCAATTAAAATGTCCAATTTTTTAGTTATCATTTCTTAAATTTTCTCTCAAATATATTAGATCTTTTTAAAATGTCTATTTTCTCAAGGTGAGAGTGTTATTTTCTCCCTATTTCCTTCTCATTTGAGATCTCCCTTCAGCAGGACATTGAAGTTCAGCAGGAAAGAGGTGTCAGTGCTCAGTTCTCAGAGGGCAACTCCTGCCAACAGAGCCCCGGGCACCTCCATGTCTTCCAAACTAAAAAATCCTACAGAATTTCATGCCTTGGGAGCAGCACTGAATATATTTTATTAAATAAGTCCTGTCGAGTCCATGCTAAAACCTGTGACTTCTTTTTATATGAAAGATTTGGTGAGATTTTATCTCCAAAAATGTTTTCAGAAGGAAAAATCCTCCACATGCAGGCACCCTTGGAGATTCACAGGAGAATGTGAATCAGCACAAATGTTACTCAAAAAAACTCTTTCTTCTCTTTCCTTCTTCTTAGAGATACACAAAAGTATATTTGCAGATATATAAACAGCTTATAGGAGATGTTCCTGTGCAAAGGAAAGCTCCAGAATGGAACCAAACTATAAAATGAACCAAGGCAAGGAACTTTTCCATGAAAATCATTGAGCAACTGGCTGATCATTCTGCAGGAAAACCACAACAACAACAATAAAAAAAATCCACAGGTTGTTACTTCTAAGGAAATATAAAACAAATTAAGCAGGAAGATGGCCAGCTTACTTTATAATTTTTTTTTAATGCTTGCATCTCTTTTGATTGAGATGAGAAAAACCATCAACACACACGGAAGAACGAGGAAAATGAGCAGGGAAAGGTGTCTGGGAGAGAACTTGTTGTGTCAGCTGGGCTGATTTTGGGAAGAGCCCAGATTCTGGGGGACTGTCAGTGACACAACCCCTAAAAGGCAGACACAGAAAGGCAAAAATTCCAAATAACAGCATCCACCAGCAAACTCTGCAACGTGGCTCGGCAAGGAAAGAAAACCCCCTTTTTCTGCTAAATGCCTGCAGAAAGTCAGGGTTCAGACCCCTGGAAACACAGCAAACCCCAGCAAACACAAACCAGCTTGAAAATGGAGCTGAATTCCAATTAAATCTGGCCTGATTCATGTCGAGGGGGGCAATGGCCATTAAAAAACCACAGAAAACAAAAGTTCCCCTCTCCCCGAGCTGCCGCAGCACTGAGCATTCCCTGTCCTCCCCTCTCTGCACCAAACCCATCCAAACCCGTGGGGCTCGGCCGGGATATCGAACCCCAGCAATGCAAGGGATCCCACCGAGGCGTCTTAGAGGCGCCTTGGCTTTCTGCAACTGCTGAACAGCTCAAAAGGCTGAAATTTTTGCTGCTTTAAGACATCACAAAATTGCCTCGCTCACTTCAGAAAGTGCTGGGTTTGCTGCTAGCACTTAAACATTGTGGCAATATTCATATTTCTTTTGCTAAGATGCTTGTTGGAGGTCACTGGATGTGCTGCACTATGACAATTTCCCTCCCATCACCCCAAAATTTAATTTAATTTAGCTGCACACACAGGGATTTTTATATATTTTTTTCCCCCAGTTGAACCACATCTTTCTTTTTCTCTTTTTCAGAGTTCCCCCAGTCAAATTTGAGCTGCAAGTGGGCACCTGCATGAAGTATTTGGTAGGTTGCTATATATACATATATACGTGTGCGTATAAATGTATATCTATATATTTTTAAGAAGTTGCAGCTGGGAAATGCATTAATATTTATTGCTGCATTAGAATAAAAATGACTTGGGGGGAGCATAGAGGAGGGAAGATTTAGCACTAAATGAAGCTGATTTAGGGGTAGCAGGAGAATTGCAGAAGGATTTTATTAATTTCTTTAAATGAGACCCTTTAGCCAGTGTTCGGCCTTAACCTATATATACATAAAAAATAATAATAATTTTTACAAAACAGTTAGAAAAAATATGAGCTGATTTTGATGTTTCTTTGCCAATCTTTGGCCTTGCTAAGGACAGAATTAGGTGGGAGTTTAGCAGGTAACTTTGGCTCCAGCCAAGCAAAGGGACCTTGCCCCATCCTCTCAATATTTCAGGGTGCTGGGGGAAAATATCAATATTTCAATATTTCAGTTATTTCAATAACTACCCCTGGAAACTCTGGCATTGCTATAGAAAAGCAGATGCCCAGGCATAAAATTAATTAAGATGTAAGCACACACTTCTGTTCCTGTTTCTGTCTCGTCACTGACCTCACCGGGTACAGATTGATGCACTTGAGAGGTCTCTGAAACGCCACCTTCAATCCTCCTCCCACTTTCTAGGGCTATTTTAGAAGTCACTGCTCCTCCTGCTGGGAGCTCCCACCCAGCCCAGCTCAGCTGAGGAACTCTGAAGTTCCCCTTTTCCCCTTCACCCCCAAGCCAGCTGAATTATCTCAGCCATTTTTTTGCGCTACCTCAAGCAGTCCTTGGGGAAGCGCCAGGAGAGCTCCTAACGCAGCTGAGGGCTTCACAGGGCTCTCCCTGGACGTGGAGAAAGGCTGAGCGCAAATTAAACCGGGTCTTGCATCAGTTTCCAAAGCAGCTTTTGACCCACAGTCCCACCTGGTCTATGCACAAACTGGCAGGTGCTGCACCTGGCTAGAACTGAAATCTGCGTTCACACCTCCGAGGATGTTTGTCCACCTCAGATGAGTGAGAACAATCAAATTGACCTTCATCAAATCCTGCTGGAGTCAGAAAAATCCTCCTGGTGCATTCAGCAGGACTAGGCAGAAGCCCTAAAGCTCAGTCCCACATGCAGCAGAAGGTGTAATTTAAAATAAAATCAATCAATCAATTAATAATATTTATCCACCATTGATGCTTCGTTAAAACAGAGGTATAGAATCAAGAGGTCCAACATTGGCTGTATGTTGGGAACAGCCTCTGGATACACCTAAAAATGCTGGATACACCTAAAAATTTTCCCTTGTAAAGCAAGTAATTCTGGCTTTTTGGGGTTGCTGTGGAATTTGGAGTTGTGGCATCAGTCATTTTTTGGAACACACATACCGTCTAGGATAATTCTGATTATGCTTTCCAGCAAATCCTGTGCTCCAAAATCTAATGGAAATATAAAGATACGGTGCAAATCTGCTTAAATAATTCAGTGCTTCCAAAAAGTCACAAAGGGAACAAATTAAAAACAAAAAAACCAGAAGTTGTTATTATGAGTATCAGTTAAACAATATTAAATTAAATTAAATATCCTGTGCACTGCAAAAGTGTTGTTATTGCAGTGAGGGT